TTATTGTGGAATCTTGTGTGCTCTTCTCTCGCACCGTAGATGAACGGTACAATTCAAGTGAATAACGGAATGCACAATCAGTCTTATCAATGCATTCAGATAATACAATCACGGCTCACACAAACAGTTGTGGCTTAAATCGATGTGTTAAATTTGTACACCACTGTCAGTGGGTGCGCCTATGTCCACTATTCTTCCCTACTTTCATAGCTCTAATTCTCCAACCGTGAATTGCAGCCTATGTTGCTGAAACTTCTTTTTCTTTCCATTAACCATTACGTTTGCCTCATTAAAAGCTCCTCAAATAGCAACGATCCTCCGGACTTTGATATTTTAGCCCTGGACATCGATGGCGCCAAATCTCAACAACAAAATGCTCGTTGTCGGAGATTTCCATGTCCACAACAGGAAATGGTTGATGCACTCCTCAGCTATCGCGATTATGGGATGTGAAGCCAAGAACCAAAGTAAACCAGTTGATCTCTGCACACGCATCATCCGTTGCGTAGTTGAACGCTCTCACACCCTCGACCTTATTCACACATCTGGCCCTCAAAAATCATCCCAAATATGTGTTTCTATTCTGAGCCACCTTTTCCGTTCTTCCTTCGATGTCAAATCTTCCCCTTCCCCTGCAAGAGGAAAATCTCCGTCCGAATCGAGGGCTGGGGCTATTTCGGCAGTTCCCCATATATGCCGAAGCACACCTTTCTTCTATTTCTCAACAATCTTTTTTCAAAAACCTCTAATCCCATCCACTGCTTTGTCGATAATGCCATTCTCCATTGTTCCCCTTCTTATCCCACAAACTGCCAGGTCATTAGAAATACAGATTACGGTCGCAATGTGATTTGTGGTTCTCTTGCCTCCCATCTTGGACTCATTTCGTAGGGGGTTGCACCAACCAGGTGTGTCTCAGTTCTTCTAAAACTTCCATCTCTTTGGAACATGTCCCTTGTTTTCCCCCAATTGCTTTTTGACTAGCTAGCCATTCTTTCCCCAAATTTGCTCTCCTTCTTCTGAGTTTATCCACGAATTATTTCCTCTACTGGTCCCTTTTCATCTGCCCACTCGCCTCTGGCACTGCGTGCGAAGTTGGTTTTCTATTCCGTGCCAGGGGATTCTTTGCACCCTGTTTATACAAAGCTCAATGCCGCCCGATGCTCGCATACTTACACTCTGTATTCCGCTCTTTCTCTACTCGTGTTCAACCTAAGACTATCTGGCTGATCAATGAACTCTCCTTAACTTCTAACCTGCAGTCGCTTTCCCATTGCCGAGTAGCTGCTTCGTTACCTCTATTCTACCATCTCTATTTTGGTTTTTGCTCTTTTGAACTTACTTCAGTGGTTCCCTTCTTCTTGTACTTTTTTCGTCCACCTAGTTCTCAGGCGTGCAGTCACTCTGATCAGGTTTCAGTCCCCAGTTTTCGGACTTCTATCTCCTATTATTCTCTCCCCCCCCCCAGGAATTACAAAACACCGTTCCAAAACACTGCTAATTTCCGAACACGCACAAATCTCATTCCTTCCTAAAGCTCGATGAACAAGTTGTTTCTCACCTGAATGTTTCACCGCATACTTTTGACTATGGGGGCGTACCCATTGTGCCGTAAATCACTTTGGGGGCATGATAAATAAAACGGAGCAAAAAAAAACTACACACAAAAATGAAACGTACCTGTAGGTCACGAACCAGAACTTTCCCCTCTCCTTGTGTATTGATCAACGAGGCCAAACGAAGCAAATCAACCGGACCGGTCGTCTTCGACTGTTGCGCTCGTATTGAAAAGGATCGAACGAGGTCGGGAAAAAAGGCCTCAAAATAACTGATGCGAACCATGAATGGACGACCAAGACCGAGACATCTGTCAGAGATAAGGTAATTAAGATGTAGACAGGAGAGGTTTATTGGACCAGAGTGTGAAGCGAACATTTTATAGACTAGACGGATGCATATAAAAATGAACACGCGATTCAGAAGAGAGAGGAATCGTCGTAGGACTTTCTTTCGTAAGGACCCGAGATCCGAAGGAATGTTTAAACCAAACGACCAGCCTCTTAACCCACGTTCTTTTTATTACACACATTTTGTGATGAACAGCAGATGGGGTGAACCCCATAGACACGAAGACCTGCTGCTCCGTCATGGAAACCGGTGACCTAAGCCCCGGGACTTGGAGTGGCGAACCACATAAGGCCCCGCTAGGTTAGGCGTGGTATTGAACCGGACGACAGAAAAGCTGTCTACCACCAAAGTTCGGTGGTGGGGCGCGAACCTCGGACCACAGGGTCCAAAGCCACGCCTGTGACAGCGACTAAACCACTGCGCCACCACCACCTGCAACAGAACTGTTTGATTCCTACTCCTCCAACAGAAACTTGTAATAGCTTTGGAGGATAACACCTCAATTTGTTCCACTCATTACCTGTTTTGATTTTATTTTATTAATCCATTTCAGAACGTGTATCTACTGCTTTGTTGTGGGAACGGGCATCCACAACCCCTGGGGACTTGGTGGAACGAACCATATAAAGCCCAAGGGGATAAACTACAGTGAAGCTGCCTATCATCAGACCATTCTACCATAGTCTTCGGCCGAAATATCGTATGATGATAATCTGTGCTGCAATTGTAGGTGATTTCAGTGGTGATGGAATGTAAGGCACACGCCAACGCTTTATCAAGTCTCTGCTTGAAAGGTTCAACGATTGGTGCACAAGCGACTCGCGATGGTAGTGCACAGTGAAAGACTGACATCGGCAAATCAGTTAGCCATTTTAGACCGCTACTTTGAATGGATGTCTCCTAAGGTACGTGTTGGATGATGATGATGCCGGCAGTGAGCGATATGAATGGCTTGGATTCGCCATTATCTGATACAAGAAAAATCAAGTTTCTTCAAATTGTGTGGTGCTGAGTGGAATATCGCCACGATTGTTTAGGAATGCAATCACTTGGTAGCTATCTTTTATGATTATTCCAGTATCTCAGGACCACATTGCTCAAGGCCTAAATGATGCTCTGCGTGCGAACCAATGTAAGCTAATGACCGATAACGGACCGTGGAAGATGGTGTGGAGCGATTGCCTCGGTCAACGAATGATTATCAGTTCACCATATACGACGAAAGACCTCGGTATTGCATACTTAATGTTCCCACCAAACTCGAGTAATGGATTGGTATCGGTGTTCGAATACAGTACGAACATCAAGCATCCTCAGCACAGAGGCAAATTTTCGCGACTTGAAAAAAATGGATACGAACCGCAGTGTCATACGACCCACATTTGAGGGAGGGGGTGTTAGAGGTCATGCAGGTGATACAGGTATGGAAGGTGAGCGAGAGCTTCTCGAGCTCTCACCAATGCTGAAACCCATCATTTACTGTATTAGAGCCAACTAATAATTTCAAAAGGAGAGTGGAAGTCGATCGACTATTTTTTCAAAAATGAAGATGTCTAATGAATTCGATTGAAAGCGCATGGACAAGTGTTAAAACAACTCCAAACGGTAAAAAGATCAAAAACAAGTGTCCACCAACATTGATTTTATTGGTTGCAGTAGAAAACAACAACCCGAAGGACTACGTGTACTTTTCTATATTTTGGTGTTTATGTCTGTCACTGCTAACTGCTCACCCCGTCCACCTCCGCGAAAAAAGAGATGTTTACCTCAGTGGAACAGGAAAAAGAAAAACGAATGAGCGATGAGATAATGTTGGCTGCGAAAAATCGATGATTGGCCACCAATAAAATAGCGAATGTGAACTGTACAGAAAAGATGAAAAGGTGTTTACACAGTCTGCAGATGTTTGCTACGGCTTAGCTGATCTATGGTCATCACAATGTTTTGACAACAATTAGTGCACGTGTGTGCACGAATCATGCAACCGATCTGCACGCACACATGCATGGGTTATTGAGAGGTCAAGATGTGTTACACCTTTGTAAAGTCGAGCACACGCACACACACACATAACCTTTGTCTCAGCGAGGATGACTGTAACGGAATTCCGGTGGAACTATAAAATGTTATATCCATTTTGTTTTCCACCGGTAACCGTGGCCTGATCCGATACCGATCGGCTACGGGGCCCCATAAAGTGCGCGCGCGCGCACACACACACACACACCAACCTTCCACAGTGTTGTTAAACATTCTGCCACAACCCAAGCATTGTTTATCAATTCACGTTGAAATCAAAAGTCGTATGCTGCTCACACGAACGTTCTGATTAATACTATCCTGCATGCATGATGTGCGTACAAGTTGACTAAAAGAGAGAGAGAGCGAGAAAATATCTCCAGCCCGGGCAGAGACCGCTCGATATAGGTCAGACGAGAATGGTGAATGAAATAACACAGTAAACACGTGGGAATGATGCCGTATCAGTCCCAGTAGTGTGGCAATCGTGTGACAGGACCGAGAGACGAACGGATCAACAGTACTGTACAGTTCACACAATTAGCGACCGGATATTTTCGAGCGCTAGCATTGGTTAGTTGCTGGCTTTTCGTTAACTGACTCGATCGATCAACGAAGGAAGAGGTAGATTAAAGTTAAATCGATGAATTATACCGAGGAAAAATAAATAGATCAAATAAGAGTAAACTGGGTGTGTCCGTGGAAAATTCGCTAGATTTACCAGCGCCAACATCTAGCTGCGAAACTGAATTTCTTCAGCCGAACTGGGCACAACACGTTTAAGTGGGGTAAACTTAACGCAGCCCAAACTATTATATCAATTTAAGAAGGTTTCATACTGTTCTGCGGATTCATCAACTGACTGTTATAAGCTTTTTCTTCCAACTACCAACCGTCCCAATCACACATCATCAATGAAGCGTGTCGGGTGAAAGACCAACTAACGCATATTCCATCACTCACAAACAATGATCACTCTGCGAGTGTGAGAACCGAATTACCTCGTAATTTGCGCTGGTCTAGCAAGAGTCATACGCACCGAGACAAAAGTACAGTACCCTTGCCCATCAGAGACTTCTTTTACAAAAATATTTCCGCTCTTATAAACACGATCATCATTCTTTTTTGAAAATCAATAGAGGGCAACAAAACGAAAAGCCCGAATCGAAAATACTATAGTTTTATTTCTTACCGGGGGAGGGGCATTGATTATAACATCTAAACCTTTCCTCACAAATTCTTTGCACAGTTAATGAACGATGCCGAATAATCGTTTTGTTATGAGTCTACACTACAGTGATGAATGCCTCAGGTTTCCCGAAAACTCAAATCTAATATGTACAGCCGGGCCAAATGAGCTTTGTCTGACAACTTTGTCTTCCATAAATGACAACCGTGACTTGATTTTCACGACCAGCAAAAGATCTAAACAAAACGGTCGATTTTCCATTGCCGAATGAGCACACGATTGTGGGAGGGGGGCTGCGGGGTGATCGGGTTTGTGAGTTGTGATTATACTTCACCGTTACACCGGATTAAAGCACGAATGAAGTGCAACTGAATGCAGTGCGATTGCTCCGTCGTTTGCCATCGTCTCGTCCTTCTCACCCGTGACCTTAAACAAGTAAATTCCCTCTGACCCTTTCTGTGATCTGATTGGATCATATTCCGCGATCTGCGGAGCTTAAATTCCCGCACCCCAACACGAGACTGTCTGATTACCGGTTTGTACGTTTTGTAATGCTCTTGTTGTTACGACCAATCCATCCGTGTGCTGATGGCACTCTTGCTACACAGTCCAAGTTCACTGGGCCTGTCTGAGACTTAGGTCTGTAAACAAGGTGTGGTTTCTCGCTCGGGTTAGCTGGACAAACACCAGGTCCCTTGTTGCGGCTGAACCATTCGACCGATCGATAAATGAACCCGATCGGTCGTTTGCTTTTTGAGCCGGCACAGGAGGATAGGTTCCGAATCCGATGCTGCCTAAGTGCTGGTAGAGAATCACCACAAGAGAAACATTTGTGGAGCAGTGATCCATGTGGGAAATTCGGAATGGAGAATGTTCCGGTGATTATGACACTGGGCCAACGCTTGATTCGTCTAAGATACACGTACTATTTTTCGAAGCGGGTTCGGTAACCAGATATTCATAATAAAACTTTGAACTTGTCTTGATAACGGACAACAATATCCGTTAATGTAGGCCCATGCAAAACTCTTCTTGTTTATCTCCAACTGGTTGTTTTCGTTGAAGATAGAATTCCGAAAGAAAGGAACAAATATTACGGAAAAAATTATATTCATATCATAAAATTTGTTCCACATGTTTTCCATTCTGCTGCTTGCATAGCAAAATCCGGGGAAGATAGTTTTCTTCTACCTTCAGAATGATAGCAGTTGGAATACTTTCGCACTGCACCACAGTACTCTGTTTAAGCTTCTCGGCCGTTCTTGGTTTTCGGGAATAAGCTGTTCGCTTTATATGTGCCCACAGAAAGAAATCCAAGGGGGACAGATCAGGTATTTTTGGAGGCCATTCCGTTTACCAATTTGTGTTCCTGTGGAACCACTAACATTGACCGTACCACCCGCGGCTTGTCCGAACGCATTCGAGAACACCACCCCACTTGGTTTATTTGCGGATTGACGAGAACCGGGAGTACGACAATCACGGCTCATTTGATCGGATCCGAAAATCGAGCCAGAATGTGTCAGTCAGTCAGGCCCATCGACACGATCACGGAGGTAAGATCGAAGCAGGTCAAGGATCGCTTACTGTCCACAGTCGAAGCGATCGCGATTCCGCGACGGCAATTTATTGTGGTATATAAGAACAGGATTAAGAACAGACGGTGATTACACTGGTTGTTGTCATGGCTTTCTCATGTACTCGTCGTCTGTCGATCGCCGATCGTTTGGTGTTGATTGCGATGTACTACTAAGGAAAACATTTCACTGACGGTAAAGGAATTAAACAACACTTGTGCAACGAGTGTTACGAGGAACGGTGCCAGAGCGATGATTAACAAATTCAAATCTACCGGAAGTGTGCACGATCGGAAATGCAAGGGACACCCAGGAACAAAGACGGATGAATGTGGTATATTCAACGTTTTGCAATGTGTACATCGAAATCATTAGATGAACACAAGGCGAACTGCTCCTCGTTCTTTTATTTGTCAACTATCGTTTCCCAAAAACCTCCAAGTCTATCCACTGCTTTGCTGATGATGCGACCAGGTCAACGAACTTTTTCTTTTTTTCTTCCTTTTCATTTTACTTCCGTTTTTATTGAATATACAGAAAGATACAATGTTCAAGAGGGGGGAAGAGGCCAGTCAAAGGGCTGCCATACAACATACATAATGGGAAAAGTCAGACGGTGGTGATGCGATTCGAACACACATACCCAGGGTGATAATTTGGTGACATTACCACCGGGCCACCACCAATTTCAACATGCAGTCGTTTTCTTATCGCCGGGTAGTTGTTTCGTTCTTTCTTTTCTATTGTTACTATTATGGTTTCTGCTCTTCTGAACTCTCTTCAGGGGTTCCTTTCCCCATAAATTCTTCTCGTTCATCTCGTTGTAAGATGGACAATAACCCCGATCAGGTTCCTGTTCCCAAGTTTCGAACTTCCACCTATTCTTTTATCAAAATTCCGACACAATCAAAATCTTATTCTTTTCAAAAGGTGGATTAGTAAGCTGGTTTGCTTTGACGTTCTATCCATCTTTCACCCTACCCCCATTCTATCGAGGATGTGTGATGTGGTAATTAGAGAAATGGTAAACCACCAAAGAGAAATGGTAGGGAAAACATAGACACAATTCCTCACTCGAAGGATGGCCCGGCCACTGTCGCTCGACGACAATGATTATTGGGAAAACCACTGCGCCTGATCCCTAGCGACTACATTTTCCTCCCAAACGCTCCTTCCCCGCCTTTGTCCGCTGATTTAACAAGATTTATCAATGGTACGATATTATCTTGTGGTGTGTGTACAGTTCCATCCATTCTTCAACAACCCCAGAAGATTTGTAGAGTGACCTGACACATTTTTCTCTCGAGTTGTTTTCATAAATGTTCGACTGGATTGATATCGGACGATCAAAATGACCACGGGAACACCCTTGGATTGTGATGCGCACGAAACTGGCGTGAGACAAGGGAGCAACGGACGAGTGTGTGTTTATGTTCCGGGAAAATGACTTTACGCGTTGTGTTCAACAATCACGAGGGCTGTCCGGTTACCGGTTACTGAGTGAACCTGACCAGAGATGATGCTGTGTATAAGTACTAGTGTGTTCGAACCCCTCTAACCAGATGGCTCCTCAGACGTGCAATATTGATGCTTTTGTCACATTGCTTTCATGAGTTTCCGTAAAAGACAATTGGCCGATCACGCTTGAATAACGACAAGTCACATTCATTGATCCAAATAATTGTTTTCCTTTGTTCGTCCCTTCGAACACGCTTCACTCGTTGACCTAAAGTGAATTTTGGAAACGTCCAGTCAATAGAAGAACCAGAATGCTCCAGTTTGACTTAACCCTACATTCGTGAAGTTGAAGAGGGAGAATAAATGGAGGCTGGACACAGTGTGATGGGTCTGGTGGGAATCTGCAGAACAGAATCAGACAACCCTCACCGGAACTCCATAGAACGGAAAACCATGTGGGTGCGAAGTGCACATTTTGTCTAAGCTTCACAACAAACCTCATGATTTACTTACGTTCATGCAAAAGTGGTATATATTATATGTTTCACACACGTCTGAGTTCTGATTGTGTGCTAAAGAAATCATGGTACAAAGAAAAAGTTCGAGGATTTACTTGTGGGTACGATACTGCCAGGTTGCCCAGGTCANCAGGTCAAAATTCTGGAGAATTCACAATCGGAGCCTTCGGCTAGCCAAAGCCCGACAGCAATCCGTTAGGGAACCGGTGTCCAGTTCATCGAATCATACGCCCTTTGCACGGAGTCAAATGTCCAAGGCGCCTAATGAGTCGGCGACCATTGCCATTAGTGTGTGGTTCGCACACCTCTTCTTGATTGGTTTGGAATCAAGGTTTTTGGCCAAATACCCTAAGTGAATTGCCAGTGGTTCACCGACCCGATTAAAACCTTGAATGTTAGTCTTTCTGTCTCTCACTGTGGTAGGAAAACACCTCCATCAGGAGAAGACAGTGAGTAGGGCTTCCTCAGCATAGGCTATTTGAGACACTTAGTTGTATGACAGCACTTCGCGAGGTACAATGAAAGGAAGATCATCCAAAACCGGAGACACTCACCCCAGACCATAATGCGGCTTTCGGAGGCTAAATCTCATAAACGTACAATTCCATTTAGTTAGACTGAGGAGGAACTCCGCAGTCCGCTACGAATTAGTGGAGGATCAAGAATCACCAGGCGAGAACAGATCCCAATCCCGGTCTTGCGGCAACGCACTGCTTTGGCCCGTTACAGACCACGTGGATAGACAGCGTCAATGCAAACGACCTTTTTGTTTTAAACTAAGTGTTCATCAAACCGATCCCAACGGATAAGGTATATCCTAATCAAGTCGGGATCAACTACATGTGCACAGATACCGTAATCAGAATGAGAGAGAGAGAAAAACAGGCCAATTAATGCTTTTGTAGTGAGCGTGAAGACAAAAAGTTGAAAATTTACGGTGCAAGAAATGACCCAATCATCTTAATTGAATAAATTTGGTGTCACGGTCATGAAGATGATTATGACAAATTTCAGTATTAAAGAGAGAAACCAAACGGATTTCGCTGGCATAAATAAAGTGATTTACCCTACAAAATGGGTCATCCTGGGCACGCGGAACGCCACCAACCTCACTCGAGGGAACAGATGAAAATATCTACGTGTTTATCACACGAGAACCATGGATGGAACGGATCTCACTGATAAACTTGGGCGTCGTGCTCATGATTATTGAGGGAATTAGCTTGTCTTAGCCACGACGAATGAAAACCAAAACACAAAGGCGTTGGTGACAACGTTCCGACCCTCTTGGAAGGCCTTTTTCAAGTCGTTTAATCGGTTAATCATCATCGCCTTATGATTACTTGTAACGTTAGATTAACCGATTAAACGACTTGAAAAAAGCCTTCCGATAGGGTCGAAACGTTGTCTCCAACGCCTTTGTGTTTTGGTTTTCATTCGTCGTGGCTAAGACAAGCTAATTCCCTCAATCTACGTGTTTATTATTAGTATTCATAAGTGAAACACCAAGCTCAGGAACACTGCCAATCGGATTCCGGATTGTGAGAATTTCGGAAATGATCTGTCCACTTGTGAATAATAAGTGTCTCTGATTCGTGGAATACCCTACCATGAGCATAAACCCACCCCGTCAATAGAACGAAGGCAGTTTTAATAAAGCTCAAATCCGGTCTGTGGTCTGACCCGGGGAGCCCTATGAATACAGGGATTAGCGCGTTGGAACATGATGGTTCCCAGTCGATCATCTGGAATTGCGGAAAGAAGGAACACGCACAAAGTTATGAAGTAAGATTCAGCTACCTGAGAGTTTACATCCGAAGAATGGCTCCCCCGACCACGTCAGCGCCTTCGCAGTATGCTCGACGACTGAAGACTAACTTCGTTTTACGCAGGTTATACTGACGGAACCTGAATTCATGCGACCATCGACAATCAAGTCGTTGGAAAGTAAACCGTTCAGTGGTAAACTTGATGTGAATTCTAACCCGCGAGACTCCAGTGTCATTATGACGATCTGTTATCCGCGGTACCAGCTTCTATGCCGCAGAATCGTGAGTGTGATGAAATTTGTACGCACCACGTGCACAAACACACAAGTGTACTGATCACCGTACTTTCGACACACTTTTTATCTGACTTCAAGGAACACATCAGAGTTCCTTGTGTTTTGATCGGAAGCATTTCGTCGAATGCCCGGTTTATTGCTCGTGTTATACGGACGTGGGCAGGGCGAAATATTACGGACCACCAACGATGATTGATAATTTTTTCCCGATAATCTTGCAAATACCAGTGCTCAAATCTTTGTAGGCGAACAGTTTACCGTTTCCCGGTTTTGATATTCTAAGACCGTGAGCCATTCTTCTGTTTCGACAAACTACGACGAATTAATGTACACAACAAGGATTTTGCGCCTATGTAATCATCAGTCAACATTAATCTAATGCGCCATGTATCTTATTCCATATTGTACGACCGGCAATCGCTCAGCGCATCCGACGTAAGAATGACTAACAAAACTTCCCTAACGAATTACGGCGAGCGTTTTAATGACATGCACTGGGAGTGGTGCTTAAAGTATTTAGCACCCCCAAGACTATATTTTCTGGGGTGGTGGTGGGCGGGAGGGGGGCTAAACTAGTTTACCAAATCTGTTTTGTATTCTCTACATTGCGATTAGTTAGTTGTATCACCATCATCAAACTAAACTTGATAAATTTGGTAATGATGACGCAGTTGCGCGAAAACAGAATGAGGTTCGTTCAATATAACATCGTTCTCAGTGTGTGTGTGTGGGGGGGGGAGTGAGTGTCTGTAAGTGACAATCATGAATACGCGTGTGGGAAGAGAGCATCGTATAATACGGGCTCATACCTGGCATCCACATCCTCTCGACCAGCTGAACTGAAACTCAGCTGCGATCCGGATCCGAACTGTGCTCGGAGAGGATTTAAGATCAGCTCTTCCACGGACGAGGGCAGTTTTCGTTTGGAATCGATGATCCACGGTGTGTGTGGAAGTCGACGACTAAATTTCACATAACGCCCAGCCAAAACAATCGGGACAACCCGTTGCAATTTGATGTCGCCCCATTTGGGCAGATTTGGTTTGGAGTGTAGGCTGAAAAGAAGATGAACGGAAACATATGCACAAATTAAAATGTGCACGCACTGCATTGAGGGCAGGACTGATTATGGGGATGGGACGATGTGTGATATGCGAAACTATACAACACATATGGTTGAAAAAACCAAATCTATGTGAATAAGTTTGTGTTCGTAAAATCGTTATCTGGTATTTACATGCATTTCTATATATACAGAATAAACTAAAAATTCGTTAGATCTGTAAACTGGAGTTAAGTAACATGAAGCAACTCACAAGCTGATAAAAAGGAAAGGCTGTAACATAGGGGTTGGGGACGAGGGGGGAACTAACTAATCACCTTGTGGAGCTCGGTTACACCGCTTAACATGGACAGAGTGGTCGCAATTTCCGACTTCACACCATGGTGGCGTGACCAATGTCCTGATCAGACTCACTTTCTAAGTCACCTCTAGGCTATGGCAAATGCAGTGTCTACACCAGTTCAGTTAGTGCACACAATGATCGGTTCAGTATTCTCACTACTGCCACCGCATCCGCTATTGTTAATTGGCGGTGTCATACTACTACCTTCCATCTCTTCTGAAGTACTCAGTAAATGATTTTGAAATTTTGGTTACCGATTTGAAGCCCACTTTATGCGAGGTTAATGCTATCCATATACCCCGTACTCATCCAGGACGACAGATATCCTTTAGATCGCATGGACAACTGACTAATCATTCGACCAAAGTAACTAGCTGCGGTTATAAGTGAATGAATAGGTTGGGTAGTTTATCTACGAGATTCAGTGCAGTTCATAAACCAACTGACCATGCACTTTCGCACGCTGGTTTCGGTTGCTGTCTATTGGTTACCCACTTGGATAAAACTGCAGAATGAAGATGAGAATGTTGAAAACAAATTCAAGTGCAAGATATAAAATTTGACAGAAAAACACGAGTAGCGAACAAGCTCGTTTTCGATAACTTCATCCTCTGGCTAATACAGTTATATACATTTAGTGAATAAACGTGCAACAAATAATGTCAGAACGAAAATGCGTTGATTGGACGGCCAGGGAGTGGTGAGAAGTGGTTGGGAAAGAGGTGAAAACCAAA